AACACGGCCTCCTAAACCTTAAAGCCGTAACCCCCAAACCCTTATACAAACCAGTCGTAGCTACCCCCTGCGGGCTTTTGCATCAATGTCCCCAGAGTTTCTTTGTTCGTCTGTTGGTTCCACCGGATCCGGACATAAAAACCTATATCCTGACCCTGTGTTCCTTCTCCGGTCCTTCTACATGCCGCAAATACTAGAACAGAAAACAGCGAATCCATGCAGCAAAGTCACAACGAAACGATCCGACAGACGGTGCTGAAGTCGGACGGATCCTGTCTAAACCCTTGTAACCCTAAGGGTCCAAGTACTTAAATACTAGAGTTCATCAACAATGAACCCTTCTGAACCTTAGAAGAACTCTAAGCCTGTATTAAGCCCGTTAAACGCCGAGTCATGCTAAAGGTTAAACCCTAAGCTCTACTATTGTTCTAGTGTTACTATTATTACTCCCAGAGACTCCAATATCCTTGAATGAGGGAATATACCTTAAATCACATTAGGAATCCTACCATAACTTAAGGCATATTCCTTAATTCTCTTATAGAGCCCTAATAGATCCTTTAAGGAACCCTTTCAAGGGACCGTCAAGGGGTCTACTCCCTAGTTAGCCCTAAGGCTCTAAGGACACATTCTATGGCTTTTGGGCCCAAAGACCATACCATAATGGTTTAGGGTTTAGGGGCCATTCTGGGCCCAAAGACCATACCATATAAGGCTTTCGGGTCATTTTGAGCCTTAGGGTACCCTAAACCCTAAACCCTAAACCCTAAACCCTAAACCCTAAACCCTAAACCGGCGTTTAGGGTAAGGGTCATTGGAGTCTCTTGGCTCCTGCTCGAGGTCTGGCAGGTCCGCGCAGTTCTTCGCACACTAGGCCTCACCGACGCCTTTCGCCGTGCTTTCCCAAAGGCTCCAAAGTAGATTTATAGCAGAATGTGGGGTTTCGGTATTAGGAATTACTATTATGATTTGGGGAAGTATACCCCTAGCAGTACTTTGGACCCTTTGGGTTGTGGAGGCGGAATAGGGTTCTACGGTTCAAGAGTTCTAGGAGAAGTGTTTCTTTCGCTAGCTTCAAGAGATCGTCACGTGGCTCTGCTGCAATGAGGGGTCTATTCTACAAAAGTTCGGAACGCAGGTTTGTGGCGCTGCTCTCGACTAAGTGATCCGCGGCGTTTGCCCTGCACCCTGAAACCCCTAAACCCGAAACCGCATAAACGGTTTCGCTATGGTTTCAACCCTAAACCCTAAACCCTACCCAAAGGCCCCAAAGTAGTTCCTTTTTGGGGCTCATAGTTAGAATGCTATAAGGTAATCCCTTAAAGGAACTACTATGGGGCCTATGGGTAATCATATACTTTCCCCGAAAAGGAAGCCTACCTAACTACTATCCGAAACCTAAGTACCCCATTATCAAGTCCTTTGGATCCTTAGGTAAACCCTAAACCGTGACTGTTTAGCTTTACAGGTTCCGCTTTCGACTTGGGGCCGTCGCGTGTTGTTTTCTGCAGGCTCTCGGGCGTAAGCTGGAGGGAACCCAAAGGCCCCAAAGTACCCAGAGAAACCAATACTGTACCCCTTCATTAAGGAATATACCTTAAATTATAGAGGCCTTAATATTATGATTTGAGGTATATTCCTTAGTTAAGGGGTATGGGGATCTCTGGGTAGTTCCTTTTTCGGGTTCGTATATAGAATCCCACAAGGTATTCCCAAGCAGGAACTACTCTGGGGCCTCTGGGAAGACTCCCTGTAGCCGGAGAGACCAACCTTTTTAGGGTTCTTCATTATGGTTTCTATATCTAGTTTCTTAAGAAGGTAAGTCCTTTCGGCTACAGGTGCCCCAGACCCCGCAGTGTTGAAAGTAGGCGGTGTTTAAAGGCTTTAGATCCCAATTCAGGTGCTACGTCTATCCTTGGAGTCTTGGGGCTATAGGTCTGTGAGATATCTATGACTTCTGTTGTGCAGGCGATCTAGATGCCTTCTTCTTTAGGGCTGTTCCAGGCAACCAGGCCCAAATGCTAACACCTGTTCTGACCTCTGCACTCTGTCTTGTAACCCACCAGAACCCACTTCTGTGGGGCCGACTATGGGAGTTTCCGCAAACAGGGGACCCTAATACAGTACCCTAAACAATAGCATCCTTATTATAAGGAATCCAAAATGATGTACCTCTAATTGTCGGAAACTCCCATATCAGTCCTGGTGTCAGATTTATAAGGGTGGTTGTCAAAATCATGGTCCCGTTTTGGGTCCCAATTATGATACGGCACCTATTATTGAATCTGATCCCGAGCTTTCCCGGCTCCTCAGCCCTTGTTTGCAGAACCCTCGTGAAGACTTAAGATGGGACTGAGAGCTGTGGCAGAGTCTCATGTGTAGTCCGTGTTTGGTTTGGATATCATAATCCAAAGGCGGGCCACAAAAAAAAAAAAAAAACAGAGACCATACCTAAACGCTAAGCTCTAAACGCTTAACCCCAAACCTAGGTACACCCTGTATACCCAAAACCCTCAGGGTCCATGTACCCAAGTAGTATTTACTTTGCCCCCAACGTACCCATATAGAGACTACTTTAAGGCCAATGTATATACTGTTTGGGCACATGGACCCTGAGGGAAACCACCCTATCCATGAAGCCGGCAGGCAGCGCACGGATTCTGAAAGGCTTCGTCGGTACATCGTCTCTATGTCGGCCGCATGCCTCTCCACCTGGGTGCTTAGACTTGTTGTGCTTGGGATTCAGGGGTTCAGAGTTTGAGGTTTAGGGGTTTAGGGTTTAGGGTGCTTAGCATTTAATTACGGTGTAGGTAGTGCGTTTTGTGTCAACGGGCCTGCAACAACTGCCCAGTCTTCAGACAAGGTTGGTTCATTTGCAATCATGTGTGTGTGTGTGTCTTGGTCAGGGTGCATGGGTGTTCTTTGTGCATTATGGGTTTCTACGCGAAGTACAGACGGCTAAAACGTTGCCAGTAGGAGTATTCTGCAGTAGGGCTCCGTGCTGTTATGATTATGCTACAATCCGTCCTCGTCCTAGTAAGGTCGTACTAAAGTCATTAAGGCCCTCGTCTGTGTTTCTGCAGCTCAAGAGGTGAGGCTTGGGCATGCGATAATGTTGCTGCGTGGCACAAAGCATGCCGTGCAGACCTACCCCGGGCACTTACATCATGAGTCAGGGTATAATGATCTTAATCGTCATTCCTAATCTTAATTATGCCTACATTCTCAGTAAGAGTATCACTAGCTCTGACCCTAACACGACTAGCATTGTAAACCCTAAACCCCTAAACCCCGAACCCTAAGCCCCTAAGTTTAGTAATGATACCAATAGCAATGCGAGGGTCTGTCGCTGCTCTCGCGTCTTGGCCGCATGCAGAAAGAAGGGGGGGGCTGTCCATGTTGGTATAGGGTCCTTGATGATTGTAGAAGCTCCGTTCTTTTTGTTGCTGCGAGGGGCGGGGGTACATGTTAGTCTATTTATAATCGGGAGCCCTCAGAGATAATGTAATGTTGTGAAGTATTGAATAAGGCTTACATATTTATACTTGCAGGCAAGTAGTGTTAGTGTGTGTGTGTGTTTTTTTGGGGAGCCACACGGTTCTTGCAGCAAAGAATAACATGCTGCACATAGCTGCTGTATCATTGCAGCAGTTCGCGTTTCATGAAGCCGAGGGGTTCAAAGACACGCTGCTCTCACATGAAGCAGGAAAATCAATCCCGAAACCCAAAGCGCTACCCCTCACCTTTCAAAGCCTTGGCCCAGAGATCCCAACCCCCCTTAATTAAGGAATATACTTTAAATCATAGTATTAAGGCCTCCATATTTTCAGGTATATTCCCTAATTAAGGCGTATTGGGTGGGTCAAGGTTCTCAGGATTCACTGTTATGGTTTGCGTGCCAACACGTGATGTCTTTGACCGGAGCAGAATCGAGAAAGTGTCACTCTTGTCGAGTCAATGACATAGGGGCCAGAAGCAAACAGTCTCCTTCCGCACTCCTACTAAGTGTATGCATGGGATCACAGTAGTGGCCTTTACTAACTATACTGGGGCTGTGTGGCATAATAAACAATAAGACTCAATAAGCATAATGCGGAAGCCTCAGGAATCAAATCGGCAACGTTTCCATGAATCTAAACCATATACCCTTGTATTCAATTTTATTCCTATGGCAGCCCCTTATTAAAAAAAAGTCCTATGAGGGGAGTGCTCTTGCTAGGAGGCCCCTGTGTTTTCCAGACTTGCTCCGAGCATTTGCGGGAGAAAAAGCCCGGAGCCTGTCGTGCGAAGCAGGAAGCCACACGTTGATGGCTCGCAGGCTTCAGGGTTTACCTGTAGCCGAAAACACCTACCTTTCTAGGGTTCCTTATTATTTTGTTTCTTATATATAGTTCCTCAAAAAGGTAGGTCTTTTCGGCTACAGGTAGGGTTCAGCCGCTGAGGGGTTTGCTGGCTTTTGTAGGGTCTATGGGGCTTGTAGGTTGAGGGGTTTGGGGCTCAGGCGTTAAGGGCCTGTGTGTTTCAGGGTTTAGGGATTGAAGGTTCAGGGCTTAGGGCTTTAGGTTCTAGGTTTTGCATATCGTGTTTAGCCGATCCCTAAGGGTCCATGTACCCAAACAGTATACATTTTGGACCCAAAGCAGCTCCATAGAGACCACTTGTAAGGCCAATGTATATACTATACGGATACATGGACCCTTAGGGAATGTCTGGCAGAGGCAAACGTCATTGGCGCGCTGTGTCCATGTAGGGTTGGCTGGGTCCCATGCAGGCGCGGACCTCCCTGCAGGAAATGGGGTAATGTAGAAGCCTAAATCTGGGTTTTGGAGTAGCATACTTGAATACTTCTTTGGGGGTACCTGTTCCTTTAAGGAACCAGTATGAAAAGTCTATACTTTGTTCAATTACTCCTTTGGGCTCCTTATGATAACTATGTTTCCATGCCAACATCGTATGGAGTCTGGTTAAAAGCAGGGTGTCAGCTGCTGTCGCTCTCTAAGGTGCCGTCTTCGTCGTGTCCGGCCGGCGGCGTGACATCAGCAGAGGCTGGGTACAAGCTTGATCAGGTCGAGAGCTTCAGGATTAATAGGGCTTTAAGAACCAGATTTGTGGGGTTGTCAAAATTATGGTACCTTTTTGGGTATCTCAAATATTAGGTGCCACATTATAATAAGGACCCCAAAAAGGACCCTAATATTGACAACCAAACATTTGGGTTTGCGGGTATATTCAATTCATAAACAATGACTACGCAGGCCCCATTATTAAGGGCTTAAGGATTAAGGGTTGTGGGAATCAACATCTAGTGCAATTCCCTGGGGATCTGCACTCAAGTAGTATGCAATACAGATAGTTAGAATAGAGTTTCGGTGTACTATATACTGTATATTTGTAATCAGGAGCCCCCCAGAATAGTATAGGCAATCAGTACCGCCCCTGTCTTACTTTGGCCGATGCTTTGTTTGTTTTTGTTGTCCAGGCCTAGGGTCGGCGTGCCTACTGCTTTAATGTGCTTGGTCTCAGATTAAGCAACATGCCCGGGACGTAACAGCGATAATGTGTACTTCATGTTTTGGAGGACAGCTCGAGTCACCGAGCCCCAACTCTCGCGTCGAGGCTACACGACATAATATAGGGGCCTTAACACTTGGAATAGGGTTTGGGGCCCATAATAGTATACATCTAATACGAAACCTTCAAAACCCTATGTAAGCGCTTAAGAACACGGCGGGACCCTTTTCTTTGGAGGTGCCTCTGCCGAGACTCGTGGCTGGGTAGTTTCAGGCTTTTCATAATGAAGTGCCCGAATTGTAGCAGGGGCTCAGCACCAAACATCGACATCTTTCAGAGCAGTGTATTCGAGATCGATCCGCAAGGGCCCAAAGGAACCAATAAGGTTTTAGGGTAGTAGTTATGTAGGTTTGTATTTTGGAGTGTATATTTTGATGATTATAGGTACTTGGACCCCTAGGGTATGGCCAGCGTTTTGAAGTCGGGGTCTCTATCCGATGCCAGGTAAGGACCCTTCTCACCAGCAAGCAGCCACAGCTGGTGAATAGTGGCAGGCAAAATCTCTTCGGGCACTAGGCTTGGAGTTTCAGGTTTGCAGTGTTTTTGCTTGGGTTTTTTGTGCTTTAGATTTTGTAGTTCGAGATTTGTCTTTGCAGCTATGATTTGAGCGGTTTTTGCATGAAGAGCTACTGAGAAGAGCTTTCATCCGCAACTTAGCTTCGACGTTCCGTCTTGCTGGTCGAAATCGGTGAAGGCCTTGGGATCCACCCTAAACCCCGAAACCTAAACCTTTCTGGAGTTTGACTGGGACGGGCGACGGAAAGGCTTAAACCCCAAAGCCCAAAGCCCTTAAAAAACGTCTAAACCCTAAATTAAATCCCTAAACCCCTAAGCCCAAAGCCCTTAAAACCCTCTAAAACCGAACTCCCTAAATCTCTAACCCGAACCCCCACCCTGAGGGTCCTAACACTAAAAATGTAGGAGTTCTGAGACCCCAAACAAACCCAAGGGGTCTCTCTGGGAGATTCCGGACCCTCCTAAAGAGATACCTGGATGCTTACGGCAAACCCTAAACCATTTGACCCCCAATCCGATATGGTGGATCAGGACTTCAGTGTGTTTTGACCAGCGGGGGATAGGTTTAATGTGCTCTGAAGCAGGCATGGGGGTGTAGAATCCCCAGGTAGGGTTCCATGATGGATAGATCGAGATAGAGATACATAGATATTGTGTATGACAGTATATGATCTGGACCCTTGGGTTATGTGGTGCCTTTCGACTTCTAACAAACCTCCCGAAGCTTCACGCTTAGGCCTCAAGGTATTTTTTGGGATCCCCTTTTAGGGGAATATATGTCATATTATAGAACCTATATAGGATCCACCTGCAGCCCGAAGTCTACGCTACATGGGTGGTTGTTGCCCTAGGCAGTGGGGTGCCTGAGACAGCTTTGACTTCTGCTTTGAAAGTCTCATGTTTAGGGGTTTAGGGCTTTGGTTTAGGGTGTACGGCTTTGGTTTAGTAGGGTTTAGGGTTTTAGGGCTTTGGTTTAGGGGTTTAGTTATGGTTTTGGTATTGAGAATTCAGACCGCATTCAACACTTGCAGCGTCTAAGTTCTTGGGTGAGAGGAGTAACGCTTTCATGTGCCCCGATTGTAACTGTAAGGCTCTATTGACAAAATCCTTGTTTCTGGCTTCAATAGGGCTAGGGAAACCCCAGACCCCGAACCATGAAGCAACAAAGCCTGGACAAAAGCAACGTTGCACACCTTTCCCCCCCACACCCTAAACCGTAGAACACACATACGCCCAAAACTCCATGTACTTGAATAGTATACATATATATATATATATATATATATATATATAGACCCTACGTTACCTGGATAGGGACTGCTTCAAGGCCAATGTATACACCATACGACTACATAAACCCTTGGGGTATTTCAAGCCTTCTAGGCCTGCGCTTCCTGCCGATGGTAAAGAGCCAGCTGGCGATTATGTCGCACGAACGGGCATTCGGGTAGCCCTGGCATTCTTATCGGGTTTTTAGGGGTTCTTCAAGTCAAGGGTGATAATTACTAAGGGTTCTACATGGGCTTCTGCAGAGTTCAGGCTTTCGAAGTTCGATTCATTGAGTTTTGAGGTTCAGGATTATCGCGTTTTCTGGGTTTGGGGTTCAGTGTTGTCGGTTCATGGGGGTTTTGCGTTCCGGCTTGTGGCTTTCCTAGTCGCCCAACACCAAATCCTTCAGCCTCTCTGGATTGTTATGGGTTTGTGCAGTTCTGAACGTTTGCTATGTTCTTCTTTGGGTTTTGGCGCGTTCTAGAGTGGTTACATGTAGCTCCAAACTCTACGAAATATTGGGTAAGTATAGGGGCCATAGTGATTACCTATACTATTTTTGACCCTTAATCGTCCGGAATTGGACCACAAGGCGGTAGGTAGGCACCAGACAGCGTGTCTCTTGCGGTTCAGGGAACTGCAGCAGTCTATGCATCTACTCAGGTTTCTACAGTTGGCTTCGTGTGTTTGTTGGTGCTAACATTAAACCCCTATACCCTGAACATGACTTTCGCTGTCTCCCTGCGTGGTTCAAGCTTTGAGACAGACTGCGTGTTGACAGCTCCCAGATTTGAACTCTTCGTTAATTTAAGTTCAAGAAGAATCGGGTTTAGGGTTGAGGTTTATAGGGTTTGAGTTTAGGGTTTAGGGTAGATAGAGTTTAGGAGTTTAGGGAATATAGGCTTCCAGAATAAACCCTAAACTCAGGCCGTATTCTCCAACACTTGATTAGACCATCAGCGAGACGAACTCGGCGCCACCTCACGAGCACCAAGCCCTATCCCTAAAGGTCCATGTGCCCAAATAGTGTGCATATAATCTTCTTTGGCCCCAAATCACCTGTACAGGGACTACTTCAAGGCCAATGTATATAAGTACAATACATGGACCCCTAGCGTATGCAGGTTGAGCACCTCTTTAACCCTGGGGGCTTTTAAACCTGAGACCCTAAGGCCTAAAACCAAAAGCCGAAGCCCTAGACTTGTCTTTATTCTTGGCGTTCTTCTGATTGGCTCTTAGGACTTTGAACTTTTTCGGCTTCTGTATGAACTATAATAAGAATTCCAAAAGTTTAACTTTTTGGGGGGGGGTTCAGAAGTCAGCCAAGCATTCTTTATCCCCCACAACCCAGACCCTCAACCCCAAGCTGAGCCCAACCGGGATCCACGACTAAGCCTAGGTCTCGAACCGACGCCGTAAGTCTCAACACCTAAACCCTAAACACCCTTTATCTCCAAGAGACACGTACCCCTTAACTCCTAGCTTCAGGAACACCTCCTTTCCGCTGTTCGTGCTGTGACCCTAGAGCAACCAAAGGACCGGAACGTCCGTTTTGAGGGTTTCGGGGACATTCAGGGTTCGGGGTGTGATATAGAGGCCCAAAAAATACGTACCAATATTGTTCCTTATGGTTCCTTCTTAGAATAATGCTATAGATGGCCCAAAACCCTGTTCAGATTATTAAGGCCCCTGCATTAGTGTTCTATAGAATGCTTCTGTAATGGTTGTACAATGAGTCTCTGTAGGATTTCACATGCGCGTCTTGAGCAGTTTGTCAGGGCGAGGGTTTTTGTAATTTGTGTTTAAGAGTTTTTTAGTGTTTTTGACAAGGGTTGCATAGGCCTCGAGGCTGTTTTTGTGCTTCCGAGCTGTTGGGGTAGGTTCGCCATTTCAACTCTTTGAAGTCTGCTGAAGTTTTAGGGTGTATGTGGTACGTACTTCGGGTTTCAATGGGCCTCGGGGCTTGTATGAAACAACGCTTTACATGTGGTTTAGGGTTCGGATCCAGGGTGCAGGATGTAGGGCTCAAAATACGGGCCTTAATGATTAGAATAGGGCATGGGGGTATATTCTACTATAAGTATAGTATGGAGTCCCGCAAACAGTATCGGTGGCTACTATAAAGCCCCCAGATAAGCCACCGTCGTTGCTCACAGTCCAAAATGCTCGACCTGGAACCCTCGTGAACATAGGAGTTCAGGACCCCTAAACCCTAAACCCTAAAGCCGTGTTCCTAAGCCGAGCAGAAACCTTTGCCTGCAGGCTAAGCGACAAGATGTCATGAAGTTGAACCCCGCACCCCAAACTCTAAATCCTTTCCCCTGTAGCCCAACCCTTCTCAACTATGCAGCCTTCATAAAGGCAGTTATCAAGCCTGAAAATGGCCAGCGCAAGACCCCAGTGCCGTAAAATAGCAAAAAAAAACCTAACCCGTTAGTCCTACGCCCCTAAAACCGAAACCAATCCTGGTGATGTCTGCCAGGATCCCATTCCTTTCCTCGCACGCTACTTGCAGGTCCGATTGGCACGGGTTTATCGGGATCTTAATCTTCTTCTAGGATGTTCAAGGGCTCTTCTCTTGCATGTGTATTAGGGTTTAGGGTTTAGGGTTTAGGGATATGTATATATATATATATATATATGTATATGTATTTTCACATCATGTATGTATAATGTAGGAACCTGATTAAGAAACCCTGGCCCCATAATCCCTAAGACAGTGGGATTCATACAAGGAACCCAAATAAAGGCCCGAGGTTTCTTAATTAATCAGGTTCGTACATTACACACATAAGGATTTGACAGTTGCTGTTGGTGTTGTTGGCACTGTTTGGGCGGTCGTAGAGCATGGGGGTTTCAGGTTGAGGGCGGTGCGACTGGAAGCCACTCTGGGATGCGGTCTCCTTTTGGGGAGGGTTTGATTTTGGGGTTTAGGTTTGGTTTTAGGGGTTTGATTTTGGGATTCAGGGTGTGATTTAGTTGGGTTTAGGGTTTGATTTTGGTGTTTAGGGTTTGATTTAGGGTTTTAGGGTTTGCTTTAGGGGTTTTGGGTTTGATTTAGGGTTTAGCTTTTAGGGTCTAGATTCTAGATCGAGTGCCAGTGCTTCTCTCCTTGGTTGGTTGTTATTCCATAAATAACTAGGGTTCCATGTCCCGAATATACTACCTATAGGTTACCAACACTATTTGGGGGCTCCTGATTATAAGTATACTATAATGTGCCCCAAAACCCTATTCTCATTATTAAGGCCCCCCTATTATGAGTATTTCTCTAAATTGGTGTCCCTGTTCAGGTCGCAAAAATAGTGCGGAACACTTCCTAATAAACTGGAAGCACACGAATAGTGACCTTAAACAAGAGAACTATGTAGAGGACTTGCGGGCGTTATTCATTAGAGGCTTGGGTTCCACTCAGGATTTATGTAAGGGGGTTCTACAAGTATAAGGGTTCCCGTAGGGTTTTGATTAAAATTTAAGGGGCCTTAATGCCCAGAATACGGTTTGGGGTGTTTGTAATATCATATGTATGTGTGTACATATATATATATAGAATAATAATAATAATAATAATATATATGTGTATATTGGTATATATGAGTAGAGCAAGGAACCCAAATCATCATGATGGTAACTCTTCCAATTTTGGACGATACTCTTGGGGGAGGCCAGCGGGGCCGTGCATTTTGCTTCAGCCGTGGTATGGCTCTTGGTAGTGACACACCGAAATGTGGCTTAGGGTTTCGGAAGTTAAGGGTAACTTAGGGTTTATGGTATTAGGTTTTAGGGTTTGGGGTGTAACTTTTGGCATTATCTAGGCTGTGTAAATACCCACCACACAAGGTCGTGGCCAGATATTCGGACGCTGTTCTGGTTTTGGAAGGCCTCACAGGGTCACTAAGCTGCTTCGTGGCTGAGGGCTCCCGGGGTGAAGGCCAGAAAACATGCAATCCCAATCCTAAGCCGGTTCGGAAGTTCTAGAAGCATCAGTTCTCAAGCTTTGTACTGCATGTGCCCCAAACCCCGGCCCAATTGCCCGTCCAATGGTATGTGGGCTTGAAAGGCTCTTGCTTGTGTTGTCCTTGTTTGGGTTGAGGCTTCATTGAAAGGGGTTATACAAAACTATTTACTCTTTGCTTACCTTCTACCCCCAAACCCATTCAATTCATTATAGCTGGGACCTCAAACTCCACTGTTCCGGTACTTGAACCTCTAGGACCCCAAATCCGTAAAGTCTACGATCGACCCGGGCAACAAACAGCAGCAATATACCCGTAATCACGTTTCGTATACATATAGCTCTACTGGAATATATACCCATCAAACCTCATCGTATTTGTTAGAATTATAATCAGGCCTATCACGTACGCAGTCGAAGGCATGTGGGCGTGGTGTTCCACGTACCGACGGCTGCCGCCTTGGGAAAGGGTATCAGATTCGGGGATGGCACCCTCACAATGCCCTTTAATATGGGATGCTTACTAATTAGAACGCGGTTTTGGGGCTCATTGTACTATATTTACAATAAGGAGCCCCCACAAATAGTATAGGTAATTATTTAGGCCCCTACATTACCTACCGTTTTGGGGCTTACACCATACGGCTCAAAGGGCAGGTATTTTGAGGCTTCTGAGCTGGACGAGGTTTCTGGTAATTTTAGCCTTCCAGTATTGGTTTGGGGAAGTGGGTATACTGTAAGCCTACTTTGGAGGGCTTTAGGGTTCGGGGGTTGGCCGCTAAGGGTTTAGGTAGTGGGGTTCAGGGTTGTCAAGAAGTTGCCAATTTTGTTTATGCAGCCACTGCAAGCCTTGGACCTTGCAACACAATTCGAAACTCCAGGCGGCTAAAAGCTGAAGGTAACATATAGGATGTCGGGGCACAAACTCATTGTGACAAGGTTTGAGGGTTCTGAAGCCAACGATTGTAATACAGCGGCCTGAGTAACTGTCCTCTTTTAGTCCTTATAAAAGTTTTACAGTATACCCGAAAAATGACCCTAAACCCTAAACTCCCTGAGCCTTAAACTAAATTGAAGCTCAGTAACAATCTTCATGGAGCCAACGGGAAATTTCAGGCTATGAGTTTTCGGGTCGGGGTTCTTTGTGGTCAGGTCCCGTGGTCATGGCTTGAGGTTATAATATGGGAGTTTCTGGAAATTAGGGGTACCTTACTTTGGGGTCCGCATAATACGGATCCTACTATTTAGGGTACTACATGAAGGTTCCCTATTTTCGGAAGCCCCCAATCATACAGGCTTTCTTGGGTTTTGTTTCAAGATGTCAATCAGTCTTTGTGGCAGTTCAGGGTCGAATGCACGGGCCTTGACAGTAGGAAGGGGTTTGAGGGAGTGACTCTAGTAGAAGTATACGCGGACTCTACGGGGATATGCAGTTTTCCAAACTATTCAGACATCTGCACAATGGGTGGTAGGGGTTTGAGGTTCAGAGTTGAGAGCCCGGTGGTTCTGGGCACTGTCGACGCTTGTCGGACTCTCTGCAGCCTTTTTTCGCCCAATCCCTTCCTTCCCTTTCCGTAGCACCGCAACACCGGAGGTGTTGCTTGAACCAGCCCCGAGATCAGCAAACCCAAATGGTAGGGGTTGTATATTTTATTGACGGGGAACTTGCTCTACGCCTTACACTCAAGTTGACCGTATTTGCGGGAGCCACTCGCGTGTCGAGTGGGGTTTGTCATGGGAGATTCACAAGTCATGTACCCCCATGCCACGAGATCCCGAACCCTCCGCCCATCATCTAGACTTTCCTGACCATGCAGAGGCCTAATCAAGCCCTCAAGTACATAAGATCCCTATACAACATTGTACAACCTTGTACAAAACCCTAAACCCTAAGCCAACCATTACATGAGCCTTGATGAGTGGTTACCATGATCACGCCTACACCATGTCGGTGGCCGGCTGGAAGGAGGAATCTTGTGCTCGCAGTAGATCAGCTGTAAGAATCAGCTGGTGATGGTTAAGTTTCAGTAAGGTTAGGTTTCAGTATACACATACATACATATACATATTATATATATATACATATATATATATGTAAACATACATACATGTATATGTATTTACGTTGTCGTCCTCGCTTGTCGTTTACGTTTGGAAGAGTTTTGTGTCTAAACGGGTTTAGTTAAGTTAAGTCTCACACGAACCTGAGCCAGCCAGGAAGCCAACAAGCTTTACCAGCTGGGCCTCTACCGGGCTGCAAAGGGCCTGCATGTCCTTGCTTGCTTCGGCCACTTTGCGCAACAGATATGGGAGTTTCCGAAAATTAGGGATACCTTAGTTTGTGGTCCTGAGAATAAGGATCCTGCTATTTCGGCTGTTATAGCTGGGTCCCACATTTTCGGAAACTCCCATATGGACCAGATGGCGTTTTTTGGTTCAGGACTTACGGCGCACGAGATTGATAAGGATATAGTTGCTCTAGCTACTGCATCATGTACTCTGGGTTTGCGGTCTAGGGCTCAACGTAGAACCCAGGTAATTATGATCCGAGTACCGTCTACAGCACTAACTACTCAAAAGAGCGTAGGCAGTTTATTCAACTCCCGATGAGGTTGCTCGTTCAGGTTTGGTTTCTTCGGCATGCACCATTTCAAGCTTCATCAAGAGCTTTCTGCGGGTTCTTCCCTAAACCCTAAGCCTCTAAACCTTAAACCCTAAACCCCAAGACCAAAACGCTAAACCCTAATCCCTAAACTCTGATACGTCTCTAAGTAAGTTCCGAAGCAGCAGATTGAAACTGACGCCGGCCTGAAACCTAGTAGTAGAGTAGATAACCTCTAACCTTCTTTGGGTAGTATTGTCCCTATAGAATCCCCATATAACCAATAAGACGAATAACCTTTAGTTGCCCATGATACCCGACAAGTAGGGATACTTGGGGGGTCGGGGGACTTAGTAAGTAGGCAGTAAGTAGACTTGTAAGTACCCTAAAAGGGACCCTAATTGGGGTTATGGTACTTATAAGTCCCGAAAATAACCACTTACAAAGTCCCTCGACCCTCCAAGTAGGACGAGCTTCTTGCGAACCCCGGCCTGTGCCTTTTGGAGGGTTTAAGGCTTACCCTAAGGCTCCGGGACCCTCGTACAGTAAAAACTCATAAAGTTGGAAACTGGATTAAAGCCAAATAGTGCTGGGATTCCCTATACGTTACTCTTGAGGATGGAGGCTCTGGGGTTTCCAACTGTTGGGTTTCTACTGTAGTGGGATCCCAAACCTTAGCCCCCAAAGCCCCATGAGGCCCATGATCCCTTTGGGAGCCTTTGGGTACTTGCAGGATCATGGGACTTAGTAAGTCAGGTTATAGGTACCTTAATTGGGGCTATACGTATCTACAAGTCTAGTTACCTTAACTATAACCCTAGTTACTAAGTCCCACGACCCTTTAAATAGGGGTTTAGAGTTCAGCGTCGCGTGTGTAGGGTTTTCTAATGAGATACTCGGACGGACTCCTATTCAGCTCGACGGTTCAGGGGTTTAGGGTTTACTTAAGGGCTCATGGGACTTAGTAAGTAAGGTTATAAGTAGGTTGTAACTAGGATAACCCCACTTAGGGGACTTATAACCCTATTTATAACCTACTTACTAAGTCCCATGATCCTTCAAGTAGGGCGATTTAGAGCTCAGGGTTCTGGTGCCCGACAGCCCGATGGGCAGCATATACTCAAGCTTCCCAGGTGTAAAGCCGATTCTAAAACCTGGTACCCTGAATCGATACCGAAAAGCCACAAGCCCTGAACCTTATAAACCTTAACCCCTTAAACCTGGAACCCTAAACCGCTAACCCCAAAGCCCAAACCTCAACTACACGCCTAGACTGCAAACTCCCCACGCTTCACCCTGTTTCCTAGGATGAATGCCTACAAGCTTTAAAATCGAGGTCCTGAATACCTAGGGTTCCTTGAAAGGGATCCTTACAAGGGTTACTATAAGGGACCTATATGGTACTATAATATTTATAGGGGCCTAAACAATTACCAACAGTATTTTGGGGCTGCTGATTACGATTATAGTATAATGGGCCCCAAAACCTTGCTTTAATTATTGAGCCCTCTACTTGGAGGATCATGGGACTTAGTAAGTAAGGTTATAAGTACCTTAATCGGGGTTATAAGTAATTATGAGTATAGTTACCTATAAATCTAACCCTAGTTACTAAGTCCCATGACCCTTTAAGTACAGTACAGGGGTCTTAGTGGTAGGCCTAGGCCTGAAGATCTCGATTTTTCGGATGGAAAGTAACAGCCTCTGGGGAGTTTATGCTGGCTAATGGTCATGAACCCCCCCCCAAGTCTTGAGACAGAAGGATAGAGCATATTATGCACGCAATTATGCAAATATGTATGTATGTATGTATGTACTTACAAACATAAACTTATTCACAGACTATGGAGCTTCAGATTCGAAGAGTGCTGAGGTTTGTCTCTTCTTTGCAATTAGAAGTAGAACTCAGACCTGCTCAACATGAGCTCAGGGCGAGTATGGGCTCCGAGTGACGACGGCGATCTCAACGACGATGCCTATGCGAACACACAGAAGCTTGCCTTGGTTCTGGACGTCAGACCATTACTGGTGTTATCATTTGTTATTATTGTTATTGTTGTTGTTATTGAACTGTTCTTGTCAGCCCTTATGTTGCTTCCGAAAGGTGTTTCTAGCCACCCCTCGCTGCGACAAAAAACTACCCGGTCAAGTGGAAGTCATGCCTCAAGCGAAGCATGCTTGCCGGCTGTGTGGTCAGACAGGACACCGTCAGGAGACGTGTCCGAGCATAGCTGGGCAAATCATCCGAGATCTGAAAGCTCAGCTTGGACAGCGTGCTGCCAACTGGGAACCATCTAAGTCGCTGGGGAGCGGAGACAGGTTGCTGCTGAAACACAAGGAGAGCAATGCTGATGAGTACAATGATGATATTGTGTACCAGTGTGATGATGATGATGATGATGTTGGTGATGATGAATATGAAGATTTTGAGTGCTACTGTTGTTATGATGATGATGATGTGTATGATGATATTGTGTATCACTTTGATGATGATGGTGATGAGTATGATGATTTTGAGAATTTTATGATGATGATGATGAGTATGATGACATTGCGTATCACCGTGATGATGATGTTGACGGTGATGATGAACATCTTGAATGCTACTGTTATGATGATGATGATCTTGATGAGTATGATGACGTTGTTGAACACTCGCGATTAGCCCCCTACCCGACCCCAGGTCAGTGATGATGTTGATGAGTATGATGCTGTTGTTGAACATGCTCGCGATTAGCCCCCCCACCCCAGGTCAATGACGATGTTGATGAGTATGATGACGTTGATGAGTATGATGCTGATGAATATGATGATGTACGACAGGTGGTATGACTGTATTTTAGGTCGTT